TTCCCCATTTACAGTTTAGGGACATTGATGACATTTTTCATGTTGCGCCTCCATTATTGCTATTCTTTTCCAAAATATTCCACCACCATTAGCATAAATTCAATGCCCTGCAAACAAAAGCTTCCCCTTTCTCCCTCCCTCCTAGCCCTGCTAATCACTAATAAGCTTTGGCATATATATGTATATATATATGTGTATATATATGTGTATATATGGAGCTCTGGTGGCGTAGTGCCTAAGACATTTGACTGAAGGCTGGCGGTTCGAACCCACTAGCTACTCCGTGGGCTATATATATACACACTCACTGCCACTGAATCACATCTGACTCATAGTGACTCCCATTTGGGTTTCTGAGGCTGTAAATCTTTAAGGAAGTACATCGTCCCATCTTCCTTCTGTGGAATGGCTGATGAGCATGAACCACTGACCTTCCAAGTAGAACCAAATACTTTATTCACTATGCCACCAGAGCTCGGTCACTAGCCCGCCCCCTGCTTCCTTTCTCTCTCTCTAAAATATACATATTTTTTAACCTATCTAGCAATTTTCTTCCACTCCCTGGTAACCAACAAAGAAAATTTCCTTCCATATATAAACCTTTCTTTGCCATTTTACAATAGTAGATAATACAATATTTGTCTTCCTGTGATTGACTTATTTCATTCAGCATAACGTCTTCAAATTTTATCTATGTTATGTGGTATTTCATGGATTCTACATTATTCTTTAGTGTTGTATAATGTTCCATTATGTGTTGTGGTGGTTATGTTGTGTGTCAACTTGGCAGGGCCTGGTTGAGGGGCTGGGCAGCTGGTGGTAGTTATTCCCCATGATGAGACTGGCAATCAACTCCATGGTGGAATCTACCACAAGCAGCTGAGTAGCTCCCTTCGGGATGTGGTCTGCTTCCTGCATATAAGGAGAAGCCTTGGGAATGGTTTCTAGCTTATGCTTGGACCTTGCATGTAGCCGTGCCATTGTTCAGCAGCCTGCCATGCTCTGCTGATCTTGGGACTTACAATGGACTTGAGTTAATGGCCTGCCATGTGGTTTGGTAACATCAGGACTGTGCCTTTTTACTTGTCGTCCTTGGGTTTTTCATTCTCAGCAGCCAGCAGCTGTCTAAGTGAAGAAACGCCTCTAGCTCTAGTGGGCCAGGAGCAAGAGGTAGAGCTGGACCTGAAGATTAAGGGGCTTTCACCCAGCCCCTAGAGCCTGGCACTTGAAATTGGACTTAAAGCCTCCAAACTGTAAGAATAAACTCCTGTTTGTTAAGGTCATTCCATTTGTGGTATATTTCTTGGCAGAGTAGCACTAGGTAACCAGAACATGTGTATATGCTACAGTTTGGTTGTCCATTCCTCTACTGATGGGCACTTAGGTTGTTTCCATCTCTTTGCTATTGTGAATAGTGCTGTGATGAACATGGGTGTGCATATATCCTTCATGAAGGGGAACATGTTTATACAGCATACATATTTTGCCTTCAGGTTAAATTGTAAGACAGAATTCTGAGTGTACGGCACAGTGTGAGACTATAGCACACAACTGAGATCATCCAGTAAAAACTCTTCCTATGAACAGAACCATCTCACTCCTTCTCTGATTAAATGACCAGCCTACTACCCATCTGTCAGCTTGTACTGTGGTGGTTTACATGTTGCTATAACACTGGAGGTTATGCCATCGGTATTTCAGACACCAGCAGGGACACCTATGGTGGAGCAAAGGCAGACTAGGAAAAAAGGCCTGGCCATCTACTTCTGAAAATTAGCCAGTTAAAACCCTATGGATCACAACAGAGCATTGTAAGATTGGGTTGCTGATGCCGAGAGAAACCAGGCCAGACAAATAGAAAAAGACAGTTTATTTAAGAGTTGCAAGCATCAAAGCAAATGGGCTGATTCTCTGCGCTAGAGAGACCAACCTGCGATTGTCTGAGTTAGGGTCTTTTTTATTCTTCTCTCTGAACTCCTTACTTCTTTGTCTCAGGGTTTAAGACATCACAGGGTTTAGTCAGCCAAATCTCATGATCGGCTCGCTCCTTCTTTTCAGTCAGTTTGTTTCTTCCTTGCGGTCATGGTGCCCCTATAACTTTTTAAAAGAGTCACATAGTCATTAACTATTTTCAGAAGTCTGATGGTCTGGAATTTTGTTTTTTTGTAACATTCCATTTTGGCTGAATGTAAATTATTGTGAGGTTTGATTTTATTAACCCTTCAAACATTGCCCACCATAGGACTAGAGGGCACTCAGAATACACAGTGGCCACAATAGACTCAAGCATCCCAACGCTGGTGAAGACGATGCAGCACCAGGCAACATTCAGACATTGTCCACAGGGCTGCCTTGAGCCAGAGCCAGCTCCACAGGAGCTAGCAACATATTGGTCTTCTTCATTCCAGTACAGTCTGTGCTCAGAGCAGAGTTAAAATGTAGGCATACAAGATACATCCCTGCCCTCCACGAATTTATAATCGAATGTGGAGATAAGGTGCATACACATCTGAGACCTCCTGCTCAAACTTTACTGGGCAGAAATCTCCTGGGAATCTTATAAATATGAAGATTCTGTCCCCAGATTCCTAGGCTAGCTACCCAGAGATTCTGCTTCAGTTGGTCTCATGCAAGGATGTGACATTTTATTTTAGCACCTTCTCCAGTAAGGCTAGAAGGCTAGGAGCTCCGGCAGCATAGTGCCTAAGGCACTTGACTGCTAACCAGAAGGCTGGCGGTCCTCCCTCGGAAGGAAGGTTGGGCAATCCTACTTCTGTAGTGATACTGAAACCGAGTGCTATTTCCCCCACCCTGGCACCTGGATGGGAATAGATAGGTAGACTGGATTACCCCCAACTATTTTCTCACCCAGGCAGATGAGTATTCAGTTCCTTAAAGAACTGAATGGAAAACATTCCTTCCTGCAGATGATAGACTTGCTAAAAGTATTTTAGAAATAACTTGTAAATTAACTCTGGCCACAGACAATAGAAATGTTTTAGAAACAACTTGTAAATGAACTCTGGCCCAAAGACATAAGGGAACAAAAGTTAAACGCTGATCCTCTCCCCTCTGCCCAAGCCCCTATCAGCTGATAACAAGAAACTGGTGACTCATCATGCCCCAAATTCCTCAACCTTTTGTGCATATGCACAACCCCCTCTCCTGAAACCCGCAAAAACTGTGTTTCAATGGCATCTCAGGGAGTTAAGATCTGGGTACTAACTACCCCTAACTCCTTGCATTGCTGCTTTGCAATAAATAATTTTCTCTCCTCTCAATCTCTGTGTGTAAACTGTTTTGGCCTGACTGCGAACAGGGCAGGCACCCGCGTTTGGTCCAGTAACAATACTGCCTAGGAAACCCAAGGAGGGGTCGCTATGAGTCGGGGCCAACTCGATGGCACATAACAACAACAACCAGTAAGGTTAAGCCTGTTCGTTCTTAGATTGTGTCTTAGGAAAAGTTCTTAGACTGTGTCTTAGGAAAACCGTGAAGCACAAGGTAAAGGTTTTCCATACCCAGAGTCCGCAGGAGGTGAAAAGAAAGACATTCCGTGGGAACACCACCAAGGCAGGCATGACCCATTACCCTCATTCCTTGCACCTTGTCTCCTACCAAGGTAACTCCTCTCCCGGGAGGGACAGATAGAGCCACCCACTCCCCCAGTGACGTAGGAATTCTGCTTCCAGTCCTCTCCTTTCTATGAAGAGCCACACCTGCCAAGCCAGAGCCCTGGAGGCAGACACTTTCGATGATAGATGATAGGGCAAACGGTTAGGGAGGTCACCAGCTTGAATTTCTTTCTATACAGAGGGCACCTGTCAGAGGCCAAGGTGGGGCCCATAGGCTCCCAAACGCTCAGGGATCTCCGTGGGAGAACACGGTTTCAAGCGGATGGCGCCCAAACCGGCTTCAAGGACTGGCTAGCTTCTTCCTGGTAGCACAGCGTGCTGTCGGTGTACAGCACTTTCTGCCTGTGTCTCCCTGGCTTTTGTCTGTCTCGCTTCCTGGGGCTCCTGTAAACTGCGGGCCCTGGGAAGTGGGAAATGGTGACTGTAGTGGTGATGTCAACTTGCCCAGCTGGTGACACTGCTCAGTGTAGGTAGGGGTGGAGATAAAGCCAGTTCTGGCAGGCAGGAGAGGGGTAGTGAGGTCTGTCAGTCCCAACCAGTCCAAAGGAGGGACAATGCCTCCAGTCTGAGGGAGGAGGCATACTCCCGCTCCTAGGCGACCCCTAGCCTGGAGGGAAGATCAAAAGTGAGGACACATGTTAGAACCCTGAGCTTGATCCAGAATGAGGGTGGAAATCGATCAAGCCCTCGGGCGTCTCCCGGGTGGAGGGGAAGACACAATCCTAATCTCGGGAGCTGCTATCCTGAGACGAGGAGCCACATTTCTGCACTCACAGAACTCAAAGCGGATTTCTATAAACCAAGGTCCGAGAACTTTTTCATGGGACGCGGCAGCGCCACGAGGGAGTGTGGGCCCAGCCCTCGTCGAGTCCTAACTCAGTAACACCCAGCGGCAGAGACAGGCGCAGTTGGTCAGGCTTTTCGTCCCAGACCAGACGGGCTGCTCTGGCCTCATGGGCGCTGGGGACCGCTGCTCAGGGGCAGCGCCGGGGTGTCCTTTGCAGCCGGTCACCCCCTCCCCCTTCCCCGCGGGCTTTTGCACACGACGCGCCGCGGGCCACTTCACACGAGGTGGCGGGGCCGGAAAAAGCGGGGCGGGCGCGAGGCGCAGCGGCCCGGACGGAGAGCGCGAGTGCGGCGCTGGAGCAGGGGTGGTGACAGGGTGGCCGGGGGTGACCAAGGCCCAGGTGGGTGCGCGGCGGAGCCAGTAGCCGAGGGACGCACACACCTGGGCGGGAACTGGAGCGCGGGACCTTCCTGGTGGGTGGGCGCCGGGCTCGGCCAGCAGGTGGGCGCGCGCGCACTGCAGAGCTTCCCCCGCGCCACTTCTAGGAGCACTCGGCGGGGCGGCCAGCGAGCGTCCACATGAAGGCCACGGAGAAGCAGCATCTGTTGGACGCCAGGCCCGGAGCCAGGTAAGGCAGGAGCTTGGGGAAGAGGGGCGGGAGTTTTCGCGCATCAGACGCAACTCCTCTTTAGCCATCCAGGTGCGCGGGCGCGCGCGCCCACTGCCGTCCAGTCGGATCTGACTCATAGCAAGCCCTCCTTGGGTTTCCAAGGCAGTATCACTACAGAAGTAGATTGCTCAACCTTCCTTCTGAGGAGTGGCTGGTGGGTTTGAACCGCCAGCCTTCTGGTTAGCAGTCAAATGCCTTAAGCACTATGGCAGCAGGGCTCCCAGTGGACGGTTTTGGCGACATCTTGAACCGTGACCACGCAGGAAGGCTGGGGTGAGGTGGAGAAAAGGGGAAATCGAGGGTAGACCTTGGGATCATCCTTTCTTTGGGGCCGAGCGCAGACCCTGACCCGTCTGCCAGGGGAGAGTGGGAGTCAGCTGCCCGGAGCCCCGCCCCCGGCTCAGCACTTTGTCCCCTACGGAGGCCCTTCCCTAGGGAGGCCCTGTGCCCCCAGTGATGGGGGAGGGAGGGGAAAGAGGGAGGGAGGGTCTGTGTTTCTCCCCAAGCGTGCTCCTTCTCCACGCTCCGCTGAAGCAGCTCCTCCCCTTGGCCAGTTCCATGAATGCTCTACCTCCTCCAGGCCCAGGAAAGGATTGGGGGTGGGGCGGGGGAGCAGAGAACAACCCAGGCCAAAGCCCAGAGATTCTTGGACTGGTCATTCCCCCAGCCCCTCCTTCGCCAACACATCTACTCACCTCATTTCTCTGGGACTGTCAGAGGTCAGGTGTCCTGAACTATTATCCTCCCCTTGTGTCTAATGGGGACACCAAAGCCCCACCGCTAGTTGGAGCTAGAGTCAGCCCTTCTTGCCCCATCTCAGAGCTGAGCCCTGCTTCTCCCTTCCTCTCTGGCCAGGTCATACACAGGATCTGTATGGCAGGATGGGGCTGGCTGGATCCCTCTGCCCCTACCTGGCCTGGACTTGCAGGGCACTGAACTTTTGGCCCACAGCAACCATTACTGCCATGCCCAGAGGGATCCTGGCAGCCACTGTGACCCTAAGAAGGAGAGAGCCCGCCGCCAACTCTGTGTGGCCTCTGCCATCTGCCTGGTGTTCATGATTGGGGAAGTTGTTGGTAAGAACTTCTGTGCTAATGAAGTGAAGTTGGGGCCTACAATGGATGATCCAAAAGACTTTTCTCTGAGGTTTTCCCAGTAACATTAAAACAAATAGCCCCATTTATTGAACACTCACTGTGCTAAGCCCTGTATATACACACATTATGTCATTCTGTCATATATGGGCACTATTATCATTATTTTAGAGAAGAGGAAACTGAGGCACATTATGGTTAAGCAACTTGTCCAAGGTCGCACCCAGCTAGTGCTGAGAGCCTGAATGCTTAGAAGGAGATAGCATTTACTAAGTACCTACTATGCTTTTTCACCCGCTAAACAACAACAACAAATAACAAAAAAATAATAATACTGCCATTGGGTCCAACTCATAGTGACCCCCATTGGGTTCCTGAGGCAGTAAGTCTTTACAGAAGTAAATTTTCCCATCTTCCTTCTCTGAAGCAGCTGGTGGGTTTGACCCGCCAGCCTTCTGGTTAGCAGTCAATGCCTTAGGCACTGTGCCACCAGAGCTCCTTTTTCACCCTCTAAGTAGATGTTAAGGAGCTCTGGTGGCATAGTGCTTAAGGCATTTGACTACTAGCCAGAAGGTTGGCGGGTCAAACCACCAGCTGCTCCATGGAAGGAAGATAAGGCAACCTATTTCCGTAAAGACTTACTGTCTTGGAAACCCAAAGAGGGTTGCTGTGAGTCAGAATCAACTCGATGGCAGTGAGTTTGGTTTGGTTTTTTGGTTAAGTAGATGTTATTATCCCCATGTTATGGATGTGGAAGTTGAGGCTCGGAGAGTAAGTCACTTGCCCAAGGTTGCACAGCTAATGGGTGGAGAGGTCTTGAACCCAATGTATCTGTCTCCAAAGTCCGTAGTCTCTCCATTGCACACAGAGGGATTGGCTTCGTGGGGAGCTGATGGGGATCCTCCACCCTCATGGCCGTTCCCCTGTAGGCGGGTACCTGGCACATAGCTTGGCCATCATGACCGATGCTGCCCACCTGCTCACTGATTTTGCCAGCATGCTCATCAGCCTCTTCTCCCTCTGGATATCCTCCCGGCCAGCCACTAAGACCATGAACTTCGGCTGGCAGCGAGCTGGTGAGGGTCCTGGTCAGGCTGGAGATGGGTTTGAGGGTGGGCGGGCCAGGACATGGGTTCTTAGGTGACTGAAAACAGTTGAACTCTGAATGAGGCCCAGAGGGTGACTTGGGAGGGGGCAGAGGATGTTAACCCTGGTCTGTCCTCCGGAAACTCTCAGCCAATAGAGAAGGAGAGGTCATTTTCCCAGGAAATATAACAGTCACATTTCAAGAACAAATGCTATGGCAATTATCCTGAGCTTAACTCCATGGATCAACTCTAGGGGGAGCGAAAGATCTGCAAAGCCTTAAAGATAGAGGCTTTAAACCCTTTTAATTCACCTCTGTACTGCACTGTCGTTTTCCTCTTGGTGGGAGATGGCCCAGCCTTTCCTCAGAAACCTCAGTTTGCCAGCTGAGCAATGGGTATAGATTTTAACAAGTCGGTTTTTTTTTTTTTTTTTTTTTAATATATACAGGTCTAACAAAATAGGCTGACTCAAATGACTTTAGCCCCTTCCAGCTCTGACATCCTCAGACATACAAGTAGTAGGTTAAGCCCAGTGGCACACACACTCTGACTTTGCAGTCTAGGGTGAGGGTGGTCGTGGAGGGAAAGGCCTCCTCAGCCCGAGGGCCAAACACTGAGGGTGGTACTGGGGGTCTGGTTCTTCCTCAGAGATCCTGGGAGCCCTCTTGTCTGTGCTGTCCATCTGGGTCGTGACTGGAGTGCTGGTATACCTGGCAGTGGAGCGGCTAGTCTCTGGGGAGTATGAAATTGAAGGGGGCACCATGCTGATCACATCAGGCTGTGCTGTGGCCGTGAACATCATGTGAGTGTGGCCTTAGTTACCCCACAAGTCCCCTCTCCCATCACCTTTCACACACACACCCACGTGCCTGCTCTTAGTGGAATGAGGCCATACCATAGTCCAGCACAGGCCACAAGGACAGAATTTCCCCAGTGGTCTGAGCTCTGTCACTTTGAACACTTGGGTCCTGTTTTATGCCTAGACCAAAGCCATCTGGAGCTGCAAATCTGGGCTACCATCAATCCTCTTCCGTCCCTGTTTCCGTACATGTCAGTGAATAACCCTGGGGAGGCTTCATACCTGAAGGAGGGAGAGGAGAATCTAGTTCCTGCAAGAACTGATGTCCCTGGGGCCAGAATCAAATCTAACTCCATTCAAGCTGAAACCAAAATCAAACTCACTGCTGTTGAGTCAGTCGAGTCAACTCATAGTGACCCCTCCTTGGATTGCCAAGGTGGTATCTCTACAGAAATAGATTGCCCAACCTTCTTTCTGAGGAATGGCTGGAGGGTTTGAACTGCCAGGCTTCTGATTAGCAGTCAAATGCCTTAGGCTCTATGCCACCAGATGTTCCTGAAATTAGTCTCCATGAGTAGCAAACCAAGAAAAAAACAAACTCACTGCCATTGAGTCAATTCTAAGTCATAGCAACCCCCAATGGGTTTCTGAGGCAATAAATCTTTACTGAAGTAGATTGCCCCATCTTCCATCCATGGAGCGGCTGGTGGGTTTGAACCACCAACCTTTTGGTTAGCAGTCAAATGCCTTAGGCACTAGGTCACCAGAGCTCCTTCCCATGAGCAGCAGTGGTGTGTGAAACATTGATGTCTCATGGAGGCTCTTTCTCTCCCTTGCCCAGGGCCTTGGGCAAGCCATTTTCCCTCTTTAGGCCTCAGCTTTCCCATCTGTGACATGGGGGGATGAACTAGATGATCCCTATGGTGCCCTCCTGCTCGGAGATTCAGTACTGGGCCAGCAGTGTGCTTAAAGTCAGCCTGGCACTAGGGCTGAGCTCTTTCTCCTGTACTACTTTGAACCAATGCCATGTGGGCTGGGTCCCTCACATAGCCAAAGGGATCACACAGTCTGGGAGGTGGAGGGTGTTTTTGCCCCACCGGGAGGCCAGCTGTGACGGTGGCTTTACCTGCTACCTCAGAGAGATACTCAGCTCTGTCTGCATTTCTGTAGAATGGGGCTGACCCTTCACCAATCTGGCCACGGGCACAGCCACGACACCAGCGAGCAGCAGGAGAACCCCAGCGTCCGAGCTGCCTTTGTCCATGTGATTGGGGACTTTCTACAGAGCTTGGGCATCCTGGTGGCAGCCTATGTTTTATACTTCAAGGTCAGAGCTGTGGCAGAGGGAGGTGGGCCAGGGCCAGGTAAGTGTAGATCATCTGGGAATCCTCTCTCCATGGGACCCTTACCCGATTCTAGCCGGCTCCCAGCTCTGGGTACAAGGGTCAGGAGAGATAAGGAATTAGCTTTTATCCAGCACCTACCAAGTATTAGCACTTGAGATCTTCCTGACAACCCTGAAGGGTATGTTTTTTGCAGCTTTGAGAGAGGTTCGATGCCTTGCTTCATGTCACACAGATGATAAGTTGTGGAGTTAGACACAAACCCAGGACTCTGTGGTGCCACATCTCTGGGGCATTGTCCATCATGCAGATATAAAGGAAAGAGCCAGGCATTGGAGTCAGGCCTGGACTTGAAGCCTGGCTCTGTCCCTTGCTAGCCATGTGACACTGAGCAAGTAATTTCCTGTCCTAGAGCCTCAGTTTCTCCAATTGTAAGTGGGGACATTGAACCAAATGGTGTCTAAGGTTCCTTTTGGCTCTGTCCATGCCTAAGCCCTTTGGGCAAGGAGAGTGAGAAGGGTCTGTGCCTTAACTTGCACTGCGGTCTTCCTGCCTGTTCTTCAGGACATAGAACAAAGGGTAGAGAACTGGGTGGGAGCAGGGCCAGGGTGAGGCTGGTACCTAACCTGCAGAGAGACCCTCTCCCTGCTACAGTGCTGGGTGGGAGGCGAGAAGGGAAGCTGGAATGTTAGGTGGTGGGCCTCAGCTTTGCCTTCCCCTACTTCTGTAGCCAGAGTACAAGTACATAGACCCTGTCTGCACCTTCCTTTTCTCCATCCTGGTCCTGGGGACGACCCTGACCATCCTGAGAGATGTGATCCTGGTGCTGATGGAAGGTAACCTGGCCTTTTCGCTCTTGCCTCTCTAGGTCTAATCATCTTCAACTTAGGGTGTATGTGTGTGTGTGTGTGTGTGGGGGGGAGACAAGGATTCTGGCACATTGGTGACAGAGCTATGTTTTGGAGCCTAGCATAGGCTAGAAAACCTGGGGCCCCAAGCCAATCTTGGCATCAAGCTGGACCCTGAGATGTGGCAGTTCCTGGAAATATCCCCTGGCCTATGCGTTCTCTTCCCCAGGCACTAGCCCCGAGGGTGCCACCTCCTCTGTCAGAATGCTTTCTATGGCACCTGGCACTCAGCTTTCCCCATACTCTCCTCAGTCTACCTTCATCTTCCTGCAGGCAGAGGGAGGAGGCAAGAATTGTACTTCGCACAGAGGGGTAGACGGAGGCTCAGAAAAGTACAGTCTTGGACAAGGCTACTGAATCCATTTCCAGCTCAGGCCTTTTCCACAACATGTCAGGGACCAGACTATGTTCCTGCCTTGAGAGTACATGGTTAGGCTTTGAGGAGGTTGCTCAGCTGTGGAGAATGGCCTGCTCTGAGTTAACACCTTACTCATTCACCTTTCCTTGTATCTGAGAGTCTTCGATCTTAGGCCAGGGTCATGGGTCTCTGTTTGGTCAGGGTCAGTCTGGAGTTGGCTGTTGGTCTCAATCAGGTCAGCAGGAGTGTCTAGCTTTGGGTCAAAGCTTTTTTTCTAAGAATCTGACTGGCCAGACTCCTTCATTTCATTCAAAGACAATGTATTGAGTACCTGCTATGGGCCCACGCTGTTCTAGACACTGGGGATACAGTGGTAAACAGAACAAACTGCCCTGTTCTCATGGGGTTTCCATTTTCAAAGGGGAGACAGACAAATTCACAAACATGATCACGTCAGACAGTGTTAAATGTGAAGAAGAAAAAAAAAAATGATGGAGAGTTTGGGAGGTGGGGGCAACATCAGATTGGTTGGCTAATACAGTCTTCTCTGAGGTCTGCATAGATGGGATGGGTGAGAGGGGGTCGTCTTCCAGCCTCTGCCCCTACTCTTGTCAGGGACCCCCAAAGGTGTGGACTTTATGGCTGTGCGGGATCTGCTGCTGTCGGTGGAGGGGGTGGAAGCCTTGCACAGCCTGCATATCTGGGCGCTGACTGTGGCCCAGCCCGTGCTGTCTGTCCACATTGCCATTGGTGAGTGGCCAGGGACACTTGGGACTGGGGTGAGGAGGGGAGACAGCCAGTGGAGTAGGTCAGCTGGTCCCAGATGTCTGCCCACACATTATGACATCTGATCATTACAATCGCATTTATAAATGGAGAAACTGAGGGTGCGGTGGGTGTGGGAACGTCACTTGCCCAGGCTTTGACAGCTAATAAGTGGCAGAAGAAGACAGATTTTCAGCCTTAAGGCTTTTCCACCTCTTTCAGGGTCTTTCCAGGTCTGGGGACTGAGGCTTGCCTGGTGTGGGAGTGGAATCTGGGGATCCTTGGTGTCCATGGTCCCCTTTCCTGTTCTGCTGTGGCTGGGGGTAGGGTAAGAGGCTGGGGCTCCTGATTTCTCCTGAGGACCAAGGGTGAGTAAGCAGCTCTTTGGTGCCTCCCTTGGTGTGTCCCGGCCTCCAGCTCAGAACGCAGATGCCCAGGCTGTGCTGAAGGTGGCCAGCACCCGGCTCCAGGGGAAGTTCCACTTCCACACAATGACCATCCAGATTGAGGACTACTCTGAGGATATGAAGGACTGTCAGGAGTGCCAAGGCCCCTTGGACTGACTGCCTGGCCAGGCACCAGCTGGGATACGAGCAGGACCTGCAGGTGGTAGGGCTGAGTGTCCCCCAGCCCAGCCAGGACTCTGCTACCCAGTCTGCTTTATCAACTAGGTCCCCTCCTGACCGCTGCTTCACGTTCAGTGTTGGGGAGCCTTGCCCCAGCTCAAGAGTGGGGGGTCTTCTCCTGCCTCTCCCATCTAAGTACAGCCAGCCCAGGGGTGAGGATTTGGCAGGTGTAAACCCCACTCTTCCAGCTCCTGTGTCTGTTGGGTTGGGGCCCAATCTTGAATTAACAGTGTCTTATCCCCAGTGGCAGGCAAGGCGCTGAGGCGCGTGGTAGAGAGGCCTCAGCAGCTGCTTGCCTGCCTGCCTTGTTTTCCATCTCAGCCTGCCTGGCCTCTGCCTTATGAATCTTGAAAGAATCCCTGGAACACAGCCCACACTTTCTGCTCATAACAATAAGGTTGAAGGAGGCCATGGGGGCTGGGGAGTTGGGAGGACCCCACCCTCTCAATGAGGAGCCAGGGGTACCTGAGACCTGTGCCTTAGTCACTTCAGTTGTGAGCCAAAAGTTCCCATTTCCTGGAGGGGCCAAGTATTTTACTAGGAAAGATACTGGTTGGGTTTCCTCCTTCCTATTCCTCCGGCCCGGGAAGCTGGACCAACACCAAGATGCTCTTGCCACAGAGGGTTGCAGGGCAGGGGGTGGAGATTTCAGTCTTGCAGCCCCTGGGATAGTGTCCCAGGAATTAGACACAATTGGGCCAGCTCTGTCCTCAGTGTGGCCTGACCTGGTCAGACCAAGGACAGAGAAGAAGGGGTAGACACAGCCTAGGCATCATCCAGGAGAGGCTTCCTGGGTGTGGTGTGTGAAGATGCCTGAATTATTAGGGGGTGGCTTGTGCTTACAAGATCCAAGAAGGGAGATGTTTCCCCAGTCTTATAGAAACAAGTGCCCACTCATAAGGTAGCCCCGAGTGTGATGGTCTCTCTGCCCTTAGAAGCAGGTCCCTGGGTGGTGCGGATGGTTAACACGCTCAGCTGCTGACTGAAAGGTGGGAAGTTCGAACCCACCAAGAGGCACCTTGGAAGAAAAGCCTGGTGATCTATTTCTGAAAATCAGCCTCCTCCAACACACATGGGGTTGCCATGAGTCAGGGTGGCTGATGGGAACTGATTTAGGCCATTAGGCGCCTGTTAGTCTTATCTGTACATGAAGATATTAACACCTACCTCACAGGGTGTTGTGAGGACTAGAGCCAATGTGTGTGAAGTATCTGGTGGTTAAAGACTAACCATAACCCATTGCCCTCAAGTTGGATCCGACTCACAGCAACCCCTCCTTGGGTTTCCGAGGCAGTATCACTATGGAAGTAGATTGCCCAACCTTCCTTCCGAGGAGTGGCTGGTGGGTTTGAACCGCCAGCCTTCTGGTTAGCAGTCAAATGCCTTAGGCATTAAACCACCAGAGCTCCCAGTTAAATAGTCGATACTTTTATCATCATCCAGGAGGGAAGGAACTCTACGGTTCTTGACCACGTAGGCTTCCCAGCCTCCCTAAGGGCAGAATCTGAATTCATCTGGACTCTACCCTGACTCTTAAGGGGAAAGGGTGTAAGAGGAGTCTCTCACTTTCCCCTCTCAGATGCTCTTCCATCTGTAAAATGACCTCCTTGTGCCTTTCCAGTGCTGCCATTGGGGGCTGCCTGTGACCTAGGTCAGTGGGTTCCTCAGGCCCTGGAACCTGGTTCCTGGACAGGACTTAGGTCTGACAGCTAAAATTCATTACAGCAATGCTTTGATGTTCCTAGAGAGAATACTCTAACCCTAAAATAACCATGGAGATTTTAATTATAAGTCAATCTGATTCCATCTGAGCCTGTGTGCCAAATCTTTACACACACACACACACACACACACACCCCATCAAGAGATAGTCATTGCCATCCCTATTTTTAGAGAGGAGGATATGAGGCCCAGAGACATTATGTCACTTGTCTGAAGTCACACAGCCAGTGAGGCAGGTCTGGATTTCTGCCTCATTCCTCTAGGCTTCCCTCTACAGCAGGGTGGGGGACCTGCTCTGGGCTGCCTGTGGTACAATGTGGGCCCCTGGGTCCGGCAGTGCCCTCCCCATGGGATTGCCCTCGTCAGTCTGTGGCCTGGGTGGTGCAGTTGTGATTGGTGGTGGTGGTGGGTGGGGGGAAGGTGCCTCTTTCCTTGGCCGGGCCTGGCACTGGGAGCCCTCCACACCCTGGGAAGGCTGCCCAGGTTGCAGCTGTGTGCTTCCTCACCACCCCCAACTGTTCTTGACTCTGGACCAACATGCTGCCCCCTCCTTTAGCTCCCAGTCCCCCTCCCTCCCAAGTATCGCCCAGTCCCGTGCCTCCCAAGGGAGAGGAGACCTCTCTGTGTCTCCAGCTGTGACTGACTCCAGGGATGACGTCAGCCATCCAGGGGCCAGAGGTCAAACTAGAGGATGGGGGTGGGAGGCCTTAGGACACGGCATGTTCCGGCCAGTGAGCTAGTCACGGGATTTTCCAAAGCATCAAGGCCATCACAGCAGAAAACACCTCACACCCTGGACCTGAGCTGGACCCACCACACCCCCACCTTTCTGGAGTAGTCCCCGCCCCTCACCCGGCCAGCCCCGAGTCCTCCCCCATGCAGCTGCTGCAAGGGTATTTATAGCTTGGGCCTGAGGGGGCAAGGACACGCGCTTTATTTCGGAAGTGATAATTCCAGTTCCAGGTGCGTGAACCCGGGAAAACCAAGCGTCCCCTCCCCCAGTCCAACCTTACCGTCAAGGGCGCTCTGGACAGCCTCATGCACCCATCTAGAAATGGCCCCTTCTTACTGAGTCCCAAGTGTTCAGGCAATAGAGGTGAAGGCTATTCTTTCAGATTCCTCAGACTTTTGTTAAGTGCCGTCCAGTCGTTTCCGACTCATAGCGACCCCATGCACTGCAGAACGAAACACTGCCCAATCCCGCGCCAGGCCCACAATCCCTGCTATACTTGAGCCCATCATCGCAGCCACCATGTCAATCCATCTCCTTGAAGGCCTCCCCCTCTTTCGTCGACCCTTCACCCTACCAAGCATGACATCCTTCTCCAGGGAATGGTCCCTTCTGACAGCATGACCAAAATAGGTGAGACGAAGTCTGGCCATTCTTGCTTCCAAGGAGCATTCTGGCTGCACTTCCTCCAGGGCAGATCTGTTAGTTCTTTTAGCAGTCCGTGGTACTTTGGGCCCCACAAACCACGAACCCTCCAAGTCCCCCGCGGGCCTCCTGAGCTCATGGTAATGAAAAGCCATTCTCTTTCTGGGAGAGCGGTATGGTGCTGACCTCTAGCGGTCGACCCTGGTAATGTAGGGAAGGAGTCATCGCCTAAATCGAGCGTCCCGGGCAGCGTCCCGTTCTCACTCCCTTTCTCTCCCCAATTCCCCGAAACTGGCCTCTTGCCTCCTTTTTTCTCCTTCACTGGGGCGCGAGGATTGCGCTAGCAACCCAGGTGTTTGCGAGTAGCTGTCTTCCTCCAAGAACCCTGGCGGGGACGGCGGGGAGAATGCGGAGTTCTGTTTCTCGCGCTGCACTCTGTCCACTCCGGTCGTCACCGGCAGAGGGCCTGGCACTCAGTACGCGCTCAGTTAGTCTGTTCCATCTATCTGTCCGTCAAATATTTATCGTGCACCTGCAAGGCCAGGGAGCAGAGGACACGACTCAGTTCTCCTGGCGCGCACAGGTCAGCCCTGGGCCCTGACTGCGTAAACATTGCCAGGCAGCAGGAACAGTACGGGGGCTGTGGGGAAACGCCGGGCTGTGGGGGCATCATGGAGGAGACTAACCCATCCTAGGAAGGGGGTAGGCAAGACCCTGGAGGAAATGAGGATCTGAAAGACAAGCAGATGTTATGTCGGTAGAGAAACAAAAGAAGGCGTTCCAGGCAAAGGGATCAACACCTGCAGAGGCCCAGCGTCAGAGGAAGCGCGGTGCCCCGGGGACTGCCAGCAGCTACGCGAGAGGGGAAAACGAGGCCCTACCCCCTCATGGATGGGAGGACTGTGACTATAATTGGCTAACCAGGAGCTGACGTTTAGTCTACTAGCTGCCATGATTGGTTCTCAGCTGTCCCAAGGCAGGTGCAGAGCCCCCTAGGAATGGGGCTGAGGTCTCCACTTGCCCTTCCTAGGCCTTTTCCAGGCTGCGGTACTTCTTGCGCAGCGCCGATACTGGGTCCTTGAAGAGCACCGGGTCCAGGCGGAGGCGAGAGGACACCAGGGGCATGTGGCCGAACCCTGCCACCATCAAATTGATGCAGTCCCGGTCGGGGGGCTGCTCCTGCCCTGGGCCCCCTGATACCTAAGATGGGGAGAAGAAATCCATTGGAAGGTTTTTCTGTTCTTTGGTTACCCGCCCCCCACCCAGCAAGAAGGATTTGAGTTCCACTGAGAGGGAATCCTCCCTCTCTTCTCATTTCCCTTCTTCTCCCTCCCTCAGCACCAGTCCCCCTCTGCCCTCCTCACCAGTGGAGGTCTGGCCTGATGCTGCTGCCCATAGGGCACCTTGATAGGGGGCAGCTTGGTTACTACTGCTACCAGGAAGTTCATCAGTACGTCCACACAGGAAGGTGCCTCATCTGCCAGAGTCCTTAGGGCTTGGGGCAGGACGTAAGTGAACAGAGTGTGGTAATACCTGGGCAAGGGAGGAGGGCAGAGAGAGGCTGCTGCAACTGAGTTCATCCCCCAAGCCCCATTATCCTCCCTCCTGACCTCAGCTCTCCCCTAGTTTCCTTTGACCCGGATTCCCATGCCCTCTGGCCAAGGCCCACCCTCCTTGCCTGGCTGTCTCAGTTCTCATTGCCAGTGTGAACAGCTCACCACTGTGCTGGGCTTGTCTCTGCTCTGTGGCTTGTTGGCCTGTCCCCTCCCTCACTGGTTCCTTGCAGGTCCCATTACTGGGCTCTGAATTCTGAACTCAGATGGAGCCAGATTGAGAGGGGCATCTGCTGACACCAAAGCCGTCAGATATGGCAGCTGAAAGACCAGCTTCAGGAATGCTGTGAGTTAACCAAGCTGATGCTGCTTCAGGCGAGCCTCACATCACACAACCCACACAGAACAATCTGAGCCCACTATGCAGACATTTGGGGTTATGCTTCACTCTACCAAGAATTCACTGCAAAGCTCCTGGGTAAATCTAGAAACGGTTCCATTGTTGTTGTTACGTGCCTTGGAGTCAGACCCGACTCATAGTGACCCCTCCTTGGGTTTCCGAGGCAGTATCACTACGGAAGTAGATTGCCCAACCTTCTTTCCAAGGAGTGGCTGGTGGGTTTGAACTGCCAGCCTTCTGGTTAGCAGTCAAGTGCCTTAGGCACTATGCTACCAGAGCTCTTTAAAAGGTTCCAGGTTACACATTTTTGTTCTAAACATGTATTGAAAAAAAAAAAAAAAAATACCCCACTAAAACCAAACTCACTGCCATCAAGTCAATTCTGACTCATAGTGACCCCCTTTGGGTTTCCCAGATTGTAAATCTTTATGGAAGTAGATTGCCCAGTCTTCCTTCCACAGAGTGGCTCGTGGGTTTGAACTGCCAACCTTCTGGTGCTACCAGAGCTCCTTATACATGTGTAAAAAACTCCTTAAAGAGTACAAGAGGCCCTCCAGAATTCAGTCCCTGATCAAGATTAGGGAGCTATAGACAGCTGTGGAGTGCCTGGGATAATCCCCAACTCATCACACACACACATTTATAAAGTATCAGGACCATGCTCTTGTCACCCATTTAGCACCACTACCACCACCAGACCCTGACCCACACACTATCCACACCCTCTGCACAACTCTAAATAATAAATCTAGCTACTATTTGTTGAACATCTTTGTGGTGGGGACTTACACCATTTCCCCATTGGATTATCACACCAGTCATGTGAGGTGAATATACCTCATTTTACAGGTGAAGAACCAGTCTCAAGAGAGATGAGGAGGATCACATAACTGGGAAGTGGCAGATCTGGCCCTTGAACCTGGAGCTCCAGCCTCTGAACTAACTGCTGTGTTCATTCCCATGCCACCCTGTTCTTGGCTCAGGGGGGGGTCTCTGGCCCTCTGATCCCTGTACCAGGGCTGGTGCTGTACCTGTGGTAGAAGGCGGCTGTGGTGAGAACCATGGAGAATTCATTGGCCTTTTCAACAGTGAAGCCCCAGCCACCCTGGGCCTCATCCCAGAAGTGACTCCATGTCAGAAAGCCCACCATCCGCTCAGGGAAGCTCTGCCACACCACAAAGGCAAAGTCCACCTGTGAAGGGATTTAAATGAGGTAAGAAAAAGGACTTCCCATCAACCAGGAACATCCAGAGATATAGAGACAAGGCCAGCCTGGTGGAGGGGCTGGGGCAGGACTCAGGGAGAGGAGACACCAGCCATGACTCTGGAACTGACTAAAATTAAACTGACTTTAAGCATGAAATCTTAAAGGTGGGGTGGGGTGGGGTGCAGTGCTGCTTAGGAGAAAATTTCCAGCTGGGAGCCACTAAAACAGTGTCCCCCAAAACAGATGAAAACAAACCCACTGCCATCAAGTCTATCCAGACTCACAACAACTCTTTTGGACAGGGTAGAACTGCCCCATAGGATTTCCAGGGCTGTAAATCTTTACTGAAACAGACTACCTCATCTTTTTACAGTGGAGTGGCTAGTGGATTCAAACCAGAGACCTTTTGGTTAGCACCTGAGTGACTTAACCAGAGCTCTTCAGAGTTCCCAAAGGAATCTGTGAAAGCCTCTATTAGATTTCTAGTGAGGAGGCCGATTGCCTTGCTGGAGTGGTTTTGAAAGCAGGAGCCTAGATATCTTGATCTCTGGTCCTTCGGCTCTAGGGATCTTGTGAGGCTCTGTCCCCACCCACGCTGGGCTTCTCTCAGGCCCAGCCCTCACCTCATTTGTAGAAAGACTGCTCTGGGCATCGAGGCTGAGGATGGCATCGGTGCTGATAACGCTGTGTGGGAAGAAGCGATCACTCACCTGCAGTGGGAGGGTAGACAGGACCACTCAAGTGGGGACACCCCCGCATCTCCCACAGCCAATATCTGAATATGCACCGACTAGGGACCCGCAAAGGAGTGGCGCAGTGAACAACATCAAGCCTGAGACCTGACCCTCTCCTTGTACATCTCCAGGCTTCGATTTCCCCTTTGGTGAGATGGGGCAGTTGGTCTCTAGGGGCCCTTCCAGTTTTGACATCTTGGGCTGTCTCTAGTGTCTCATTAGATATAGAACCCTTGGGAGTGGTTGTCAAACATCTCTCACTTAAATGAAACAGTTCTAGAGAGATGAGGTGACTTGCCCAGAATCTTACAGCAAGCAGGTGGCTCACACCCACCCAGGTTCTCAGAAGCCACTCCCTCCCCAGCCCTGGCCAAATTTACTGCCATCCGTCCGTGTTTCTCTCAAATCCCAGGTTTTCCCCTTTGCTCATCTGAGACATGAACATCCCTTCCCCTGCCTTTTCTCATCACACAAGCCTCCAGTTCTCTGAGAACGGAATGCAAAGGGGCTAACAGAAGAAACCAGGCCTGCAGCTGCAATCTATTGCCTGATTTCTTCAGGCCCAACTTGAAGTCCAGCTGTGGGGCAGACCCAAGCAAAGTGCTCCGTGTGTGCCCTTGACGGTTCCCAGCAGGCAGAGACTGAGCCACCCCTCCACGCCTTCCCCATCCCTCACCTTCCTGTGCCCCTCAATGACTGTCAAGGGGATGGCTGTCTCGGGCCACTTTCCCCTGGGTGGGGGTGGCCTCTCGCTGCTCCAGAGAACCAAGATCTAGGAGGAAAAAGAGGTGGTCCTAAAGCCAGGGGTCTTAGGTAGGAGGGGGCTTCCACGAGTGTGTTTTCTCAGGCGGAAGGAGTATGAGAGACAATTGCATATGTGCAGAGTGAGCAGGAACCCAAGGTCCTCTTACTGCTGCTCTGTCCTTGCCTCTGGGCTTCTGGAAGGTAGCAGTTACGGTGATATGAAGGTACCACCTATGGTGTTAGAACTTGGTGTGGTAGGCCCTAGCCTGGGGGCTGTCCCCACCTTCTCTCACAGTTTTTCATTCTCTTCCTCCCATCTATTGTTCCCAGCCCCAATGTTTGGGGAGCCTCTCCATCTCCACCCTGACAGAGCTAATTGCTTCCCTTCTGTGCAGGTGCACTCTGGAGTCTAGCTGCCTTCTCTGCAAGTGAAATTTGACGGTCTGTGTGCCAGGAAATGCTGACCGATTCTGAACCCTGGGGGTCAGAATCCTTTCCTGCTTCTTCTCTGAGTCCTCAGCATCGAACCCAGGGTCTGCACTTGGAAAATGACTGAGTGAGTGAATGAATGTTTACTCCTCCAGCCTCCTCAAGAGATGCCTGCTTTTCAGGTGGCCTCATCAATTCCCACTTGGGGGAGAGGTACAAGAGACTTGGAACTTAAAGAGGAAGACAGAAAGGGTACTTGGAAATCTTCCCCCTGCCTCCCCCCAAAATGCATGGTCATTCTTAGGGTCTAGATGTTGGCAGGGGCCCTTCCCTGACCCTCATTCCCACCTTGGACCCCAGGACCCGAGCTAGCAAGGGGCAGACCTGGGCACAGTGCTGGGAGCCTGCCACCGCCTGGATGAGCTTCAGGGGGGGCTGGCCTGGGGCCCCCACCCAGATCAGGGCGCTGAACCTGCCCACAGGACGGGAGCCTGGGGGAATGAGAAACAGGCCATCAGGGTAGGAGGGCACAGAACCCGCTGGAGACTGACCTAAGTGGGAGACCTGGGGGCCAGAAGAGATGTTGAGGGTTTCAGGGAGGGTCTTGGTGAGGCTCTGGAATAAGGCTGGGGCAGACATGGGGAGAGCTAATAAGGGCACTTAAGCATCCCATTCCCAAGGCATACCCTGCTGCTGGTGGTAGAAGGGGAAGTCCTGGGGGCGTGTGGAAAAAGTAGGCAGGGCCAGGAGTGCTCCTGGGGGGCTGTTCCACATCACTGAGGAGTGGGCAGAGGCTCCAAAGATCCGGTCCTGAATAATCTGAATGAAATGAGAGAGGGGCTGTGCAGAGGGGTAGCCAGTGTAGCCTTGGCCTCAGATCCTATGAGTGGAATCTTAGGAAATGAGGACTCGTGTAGCCCCACACTGCCCCCTTCAGGCTCCGGAGACAGTGGTAACAGCATCACCAGGTCCCTGGGGGCACAGGCGCTCAGAAGCAAAAGCTGAGTAGGGGGCACTCAGTGATGGCATTCCAGAGGTGGCAGATGGTGGCAAGTTCCTGCTTCACTTCTCTTCATTCAGGATAGACATCACCAACAAGCCATGCCGTTCTTACCAGACTCAGAATCCCGCCCAACACACAACCCCGGGTAGCCACTGATGATCAACTGGAGTAGGCAAATGAGTTGAAATGAAATGTCTTTGCCACAGCTGTCTCCCAAATGGGGAAACTGAGGCTCAGATCGGAAAAGGAGCTAGTCCACAGTCTCACACCCAAGTCTCAGATTTGCACCAAAAGGATCTTCAAGGGGGAACCCCAGACCCTTGGGCAGGGCGGGGTGGGGGTGGTGTCTGGGCAGAGGGTACAGATAGGGGATGGGGATGAGGAAGGAGCTGTGGGGTATCAGGGAGCCACCCTCACCTCCAGAGTGGTATGGACCATCTTCTCCACTGAGGAGAAGTAGGCATCCCATAGAAACTGGGTCTGCTGACGCAGGGCAAGGACCCGTGCCGGGGGCATCTCCTGGAGGGCAGCCAGGACCTGAGCAAGGGAGAAGAGGAGAAGGCCAGGAGCCCTGTCGGGATCTGAGGGATCCTGGGCGGGGCACCCTGGGGCCCAGAACTGGGAGCCGATGCTCTTTCTCCAGGGCTTTCGAAGGAGGTCTCAGTGGCCACCCCTGGCAAGGCCCAGGGGTAACACAGTGATCAGTAGTTTAGGGGTCTTATATGTGGAGGGAAACTTTCTTTGTTGGTTACCAGGGATGGGAGGAGAGGGGAGGGAAAATGGCTAGATAGTAACAAAAACAAAACAAATTATGTATACACACACATATATAGA